AAATACGCGTATCTCAGAGTCCTAACGTTTGCCAGTAATACAAAAAAAAGAGTTTCAAAGTTTTCCTCAAAAATCTAGTTGCCTTCAAATTATATTTCTTTGGATGTCAGCCTTCCAATTCATACGTACGAATATGTAGCTGAATATATTAGCACCGACAAATGTCCTGTCTTATTTCTATATACTTCCAGCGACTTCGTAACATCAATAACCAACGATAAATGCTGTTAGAAGTTGAGCCGGACTTAAGTATAAAAATCGAAACTTCTTACTTCGGAATATAAAAGTCAAGAAATAAAATAGACATTGAATTACGCGAGAGCGCGTAATAAGTGAGTGAATCCAAAGGCTAGGAACCACCAAGACAAAGCCAACATTACTTAGTGGTCCAGTCGTCTACCCAAGCCGGGTATTCCCTCCAAACGTACGTCATCTCAAAGCATCAGGGAATGCAAATGAGACTGAAATTGCCGGATGAAATTTTATCACACGTGTTGGATGTTGATAGGACCATTGTTCGGGTATCTGGCTCACTTTAATTGGTGTTGGAAAATGGGTTCCTCTACTTGCACCTTGAGTGGCGGATTACTTTGACCAAACTGAACCTTAGCACCGCATGTGGGCTGGATAGTTCGGTGCACTTGTTTATAGACTGGGGACCCGTGAACCATGACCCAATTAACTCACGACTCTCACGATTGTCAACTCTCGCGAGAATTTCGGCATCATCGAATTTGAATGTATGGCCAGATCTCGTCAAATGAGCAGCTACATGAAATTTGGAGTAATTTTTTCGCACTGCTGCCACGTGTTCGGCAGTTCGCGTCTTGAGAAGTCTTCCAGTTTCTTCGACGTAGCTACGTTGTGCGCAACTGCACAAGATCCTATGGACGATTCCAAATGTTTATTGCCGTGGCAGCGGGTCATTTGGTTTAATTATCTGACACCTTGTGGCTGCCTCCGGCCCGTGTGCGACTCTAAGTCCAAGTAGTTCGAGAATGCGACCGACGGCATCTGGGACGTTTTTAACGTATGGAATATTTCACCAAACCTTGGGGTCGGTGCGATTTTGTCGTTCGTCTAATTTGCGCACGCACCGGCAGAAACAGTTGCATGGGTAGCCATTTTCTCTGAGCACCCGTCGAAGATATTGCTGTCAAGCAAACTTGTTTTCTAGTTCACTGCAGTGCATCTCAACACGCCAACATAGCACCCTCACGCAACTGCGTTTGTAGCTGATTGGTTAATGTTGAAGTTAAGTACTTGCGTAGTAAACCCACCGAAATAACTACTTACATCAGCCAACCATAACACGAAAAAGGACGACCTGATAATCGAGCCCAGAGAAAAAAGTTCAGGGCTCAGTGCTACAGTACTTCTACCACGTTTCTCTGTTTGTCAAGTGTGATCGAGGATATTCATAATATCGCGGTGATAGCTTCTCTTTTCAGTTAACGGCATTGGTGGCTCTTAGATGTTGCTATAACACCAGATGAAACGTTATATACATAAAAATGTTAACTTCGACCACACGGGTGGGTGATTATGATAGGTATCAATGTCTCCACACATTTCCGGACAAATAATATCCTTTGCAAAAGCAGAAAATTAATGAAAAGAATGGATTAGATGAGCAAAATTTCCTGGGCAATATCGTCACTGCGTTAGTGGGAACATCCCAATGAAAAGATACTGTGCTACGATATATTGACTACAGACTTTTCTCTGGCTCTATTAAACTTGCAACGCTGCATGTGCAAGCTATCCCCCTCGAGAGGGCTTTTGACGGTTTCAATCGATCGAATCTCATTTTATACTATACATTCTAGAATAAACACAATTTTTCTCAAGGTAAATCAACAACCGGACCTTATGACCACATACGGGATCTTCTCTTTGCACAGACGGACAGCTAGCAGAGCAAACAAAATAGCGCATAATCCCCCAACACCGTCCTGCTACCGGTCACTAGTCAGTCGCACGAAAAATCCTTTCCGGGTGGCTTGCAATTTGAACTCGCCATTCGACGGCACAGAAAGATTCCTGATTGGAACAGAAAGTTCACCTTTTATTCCATAATCGAACATGTAATTGAAAACTTCTGATCGTAGCCCGACAAAGCATGTACTCATAATTCAACTTCCGGATCATCAGGCAAAGTGCCCAGCTGAAAATAAGCTCAAACCCAGGGTTTTCCTGGCATAAGAGTGACCACAAACTGCAAATATTTCAAAATAGGCCTCAGGGTCTCTCCCCCTGTCTTGTTACTTACAGTTGCCGCCCGTTGTTTGTACTCCTTGACGGAGGCCTTGGCTGATCTCGCAACTGTATCAGAATTGGGTCGCGGCTCAAGGGTAGCAGAACGCTGATGTACATCACCTGGAGTCCTAGAAACCAGGGCTGGTGTCGAGCCACTCATAGCACTCCGCTGCTTATTTATTCCCGCCACCGACGTCCCGGCTGGCTGCTCTATGTAGCGCAGATTGAGATGTCGCCCAAGGCGAATGACTGTCCCTTCGGATATGGGAGTCGGACCAGTGACCTTCCTACCATTCAGGAAGACCGGAGCCAGTCCCGGTGGTCTGGAGGAGATGTCGAGAGCTGGTGAAATCAGGACGGCGGAGCGGTCGCCACTGCGCGTTGCAGCAGTGTTTGGTAGGAGGGAACAGTGCACCGG